TATTATTATAGTTAAATACAGGTAATAAAGATAAAATTTGCAATTTCTTACAGATTGGTGATTATGGCCCAATGTGGGTTTATCCTACCTCTACATTTGACTGTGTGGTGGCAGATCCCAAAAAAGGTTCTAAAATGTATGGTCTCAAGAGCTACATTGAATATCAGCTGACCTGCACTGTAAGTGTATTTGAAACAGGATCTTCTCTCTTGAAGTATGGGTCATTTGTACATATAAATAATACAGTTTGTGTGATTTGGTAACAGGGCTTAAGAGTAAGTGACACTTACTCTTAGTTGTCACGCTGTTTTTTCCCCAAAGAGTTACTTTATTCTAGCATTTCAATTTCTTCTGTAATTACAGATTCAAGGCTCTAAATCATAAATTTTATTTACATTCTACGTGTTTACTATCCTGGTCACGCTTGTTTCATGTCAGTATCTGTGGATGCCTGTCAAAATTTAGAGTTGTGTTTCTCTTGCAGAACACTAATCGGTCTGTCAACCACAGATATAAGCACTTTGACTGGTTGTATGAGCGTCTCCTCGTTAAATTTGGATTAGCCATTCCAATCCCGTCACTTCCAGACAAGCAAGTAACAGGTAATTATTCCCAGTTGTCAATTCATGGGACAGGAAATAACAAGATCACTTTTTTACAGGGTTCAGTTATTTCTTACTGTTTGTTTTTTCCCATTATTTTTAAAGAAGGCATAAAAAAACCCCAATCTTTCACCATTCAAAACTTATGATGAGTTCTAATGGCCTACTGATAATAAAATATGATCATTAAAAACATCATTTCAGAACTCAGATTTACCTAGTCCAGTGACTTTTTTTTAAAAAAAATAATTAAAACCAGATCCCACCCTAGTTACTACAGAAGAGAATACTTATTATTGGAGAGAAGAGATAACTAATTATGTTCCATATTTGCTGATTTTATGGAGAAATGGTTTTTGAGGGGGCTTTTTGTGTGTGAGGGTGCTTCTTCTGCATTTGAATGTAAATGTGTTACAGGAGCTTTGAAGCAAAGCTCCTGGAAGAAATGGAGCGTGCCCTGACAAACTGGGTTTTTTTGCTCACAAGTAAAATATTGCAGCTGTTTCTCCTGTTGCCTGATTTCACACTTGATTTAGAAAGCATCTTTCATTTGTATAACATTCTGCTCTGGTTTTATGTCAGTTCAGTTTGACTGAACTCTGTGAAGCTTGTGAAAGTCTTTTGTTCCAACTTCAGGAAAAGTGGGATTGTATCCTGTAAATGCTCGTGAGTTCAGTCTTTGCAATTGAATATGGTAATGCCTGTGCATTTTCAATAGTCTCTGGCTTCCTTCCTACGAAGGTGTGCTAGAGCGCATGTGAAGAAAAGAATGGACCCCTGTATAGGAGGAAAATGCATTATTTTTTTCCTGTTTCCACTTGTGTGTTTTCTGGTAAGATTTTTACACAGCCTTTAAGACAACCAGCCAAAACCAAACATACAAAAGCCGGCATGTTGCCAACAACGTGGCTGTGGGCATCACTTGAAAATGCAGCAGCTCTACTGTTTTTGAAGAAAGCTGAGCATTGATGCAGATGCTGGGATAAATGCCGAGGAAACTGAAAAGTGAGGAAGCGACTTCCTCCCCTCCTCTTAGTCTCATGCTTAGAATTCACCAGTATTTTTGCTTAAACATGTGCATGTGGACTAAAAGGAAACCAGAAGACCTGATGGGATCTCTGCATTTTATTGTAACTGTATTTTAAAAGACTCAAGAGTTTGGCATCAGAGTTAAACCTTGCCTGTGGATTTCAGTCTTCCGGAGTCTGTGGGAGAGGATAACTTGTCCCATGCGGGGGGGAGGAAGGCGAGGGGGAGCAAGGCATGCCTCTTTTCCTTTCTTTTTTGAAACGTTAAGGGAAACTCTGAAAAAAAAAGTGTTTATTTTTCATTGTGTTTAGGAGTCATCTTTCTGAAGACTGTCTAAAAAAGTATTTCTGTCCATTAGTCTTGGCAAAGCAAGACTCTTTACAAATAGACTGACTTTGCTCAGGATCATGATTTTGCTGATGGTGATATGCCTAATGACCAGCACATGGCTTCCAAATGTTACCGTTTCTGTTGCCTTGCATTTCTTATGCTGGCAGGAGCACTACGGAGATTTCAGTATAGATTAAAGGTGGAACAAGGTATTACTGCAGGTTAGATAATGTCTTTTCCATAGTAGTTGATTTCTCCCCCACCCCCAGCTAATTTGCAGGAAATACACCCATACCCATTTTTCACTGGTTGTGTTCTTTACCTGCTAGTCTTGCTAGCTTCCACATATGCAACTTAAAAAAGAACAAAAAATAAACCAAACCAAAAAAACCCCCACAGAAAACCTCAACCTTGTGGAACTGCTGCCATAGTAACTATGCAGTAGAATTATATTGAAAGAGTACATGCGTTCAAGGTTTGTCATCTGCGCTGCTATAGTAATTAGACTTGGGTGCTGGAGGAACCTCATTCCTTTCAAATACATCCTATTCACTGTATGCTTTAAAAGTCTGACGTTGTACATTTTTTTTAATTGGAAAAGATTCTCTCAAGAAGATAGAGCTTGTGCTGAAACGAAAAGGTTCTTATAAATACACAGTGATGATGCACTACTGGTTAAAAAAAAAATAAAATTGATTATTTAATAGTTTGTGTTAAAATCTAACTACCAAAAAAATCAGTTACAGAGTCTTATATGTATGTATTCTGATTGGTTTATATGTGTGATTTATTGAGATTTTTTGAGATTTTTCCCAACACATTCATTTACCTATACAGAAATATGTTTGTAGGAGGTACCGCTTTTTTTAAATCTGCTATTCATATCTGAGCAGTGCAATTTCAAATGCCTTGTTAGCTAGGACATGACAACTTGGAAAGTAAGTAGTTCCTTTTTCTCCAGCGTCTTTGAGCTTTACATTGATCAAGGATTTACCAGGCTGTATCAGGAAAATGTCTGCATTCCAAGCCTGTGCCTAACTTCTCTCTTGGGTCAATTGAATACCTAAATTTTTCATCTAAAAGTTTATTTATTTTTTTTTAAAATTATTTGAATTGTGCGTGGGTATTATGGTTTTTTTAATATTTCATGACTGTCTTTAAAAGGAGGAGTATTCTTAGTCAGTAACCAATATACTGTAATTTAAGGTTCTTCTAATTTGTCAGCGTAATGTTTCCTTCTTGTAAGTTGAGTCATTAAATAATTAATAACTCACCAGATGAATTTCAGCTTCTGTTTAATTAAAATAAAAACAAGGTGGGGGTACTAGAGTAGAAACGTAACAAGTACTGTTCAACATATAACAGGGCGCTTTGAAGAAGAATTTATCAAAATGCGTATGGAGAGACTGCAAGCATGGATGACAAGAATGTGCCGCCATCCTGTTGTTTCAGAAAGCGAAGTTTTTCAGCAGTTTCTCAATTTCCGAGATGAGAAGGTAGGAAATAAACTTCACACGCAGACTGAGATTGAGGAATTGCTCCCTGCCGTCATCGCCCTTTGAACCAAGAGCTCAGCTGTGTAGCCTTCTCATTTGTCTGCCCCCCTGTGGGCAGTGGTGATGAGCTGAAAACTGTTGGGTTTGCTGACTAACAGCTGATTGGTCAAAATGAGGCATAAAGTTGCTTATGCGTTGGAATGGTATACAACATTTCAGAGATGTGCTCTTTAAAGTAGCTTTGCCAGTCTTTTAAGGAAAGTTTGTGTCCTCCAGCAGAATAGGAACATACATAACAGCTCTTCTGGCTGTTGCCCTGCTCTGTCTCTGTTGGACTTACTAATTACTGTGGTCCAAAGCTTTTGCTTTGCTAACAGAAGCTGCTTTGTAGCAGATCTCGGATGTGTCTGATCCTGCATTATATTTAAGAACACTCCCACCCCCACACTCCCCTCCCTCCAACAGTTTTCACTGGAATGGGTTGTAATAGCATTATGCCGCAGTCTTACCTGGTATAACCAGCCCGTCTTTATTCTCTGCTTCCCCCCGCCCCAGCATTTTCTTATGCTTTTTATAGAGGTTTTAATAGCTTTTACCTTCCGTAAATAATGTTTTCTTTGTGACTGAGCTCCAGCTCTGTTACTAATTTGGGTGTCTACTGATGAGGAAGTAAACAGGAAAACTGCTGCTTTCTCTTCAAAACAGTCATACTTCTAAATACACAGACTTTGCTCAAAAAGTAAATGACCCTTGGAGGTTTTTAACACCAGACTGCATAAAGCCCTGAGTAACTAAGGTCACAGCTGCTCCTTTTTGAGTAGGAGCTTGGACTACAAACCTCCTGAGGTCACTTCCACAGAATTATTCTGTGATCCTGTTAAGTAAAGGCGTAATAACATACTGAGTAGCAGTCCTAGCAAAGTGCTATTTGGATGGCCAGTGGAGAGTTGTGTAATTGTGCTACCTAGTCAGCAGTTTTTGGTATCTAACTTATGGACAGATATAAACAGAACAGATGTTGCAATACATGTGGAATTTTTAACTTTTTTATCTGTACTCACTAAGAACTTAGTATGGCAATTGCATAATAGTCTCATGATCATCTTAAGTAGCTCCTGATACCAGCACTATTAAAATATGCAGATGCAGCTAAATAAAATTTCTCTTACGCTGTATTTCAGTAATATACAGGAAGGGTCTGTTTACCCCAGAATCTAGAAAACAAAGGGCACGAGGAGAAGGGAGGGAAATTCTAAGAAGCCTTGGCCCCACTGAAACTTTCAAATAAAAGGTTTTACTGTGTGGGTGGGCTGCTGGTTAACTGCATTTCATTCACGGCTTAAGTACATGCCCTTAAAGATGGATGAACTATGGTGGTCAAATTTTGTGTCTTTTTCTTTTTTTTTTCCTTTCCTTAAGGAGTGGAAAACTGGAAAGCGGAAGGCAGAAAAAGATGAAACTGTAGGAGTCCTGATATTTTCTACAATGGAACCAGAAGCTCCCGACTTGGATATGGTGGAAATGTAAGGTGCTTTCTTTTTGCATGGACATTATGCGTCTAGATATACAAGAGATACTGAGCTAATATAAAACTAAAATAGTGCGCACGTGTATTAATGAATTTGAAGAGGGACTCATCAAGGAAGAGGTGAAAAATTGTTTGAATATGAGATTTTCATATCAACCCCTCTAAAACTTAGTGGAACATCATGTGATGTCTCTTTGACTTCAGTGGCTGAATACTGATCAGAAAAGGATTTATGCAAAACTAGTTGATGAGATAGAGCGCTGGCAGATCCTATGGAGTCACGTTTTTGTATTACTATGGGAGTATATTTTGATCTTCAGTTGTGAACAGCTCCAAAGTGTGCTAGACTTGCCAAGTAGCTTAGGGTAACTGTAGATGGACCATCAAGGAAAACAACGTTTCTGTAAAATACTTGTATGTAATGCACACACAGTATCATTCTAATATCTGGAATTTGTGGAAAGCTATTAAAAATGAAAAGTGATTTACATGATCCAACTTCATTTTAAATGGGTTACTACATTTTTTGGGTATCCTTCTGGAAGTGCAAATGGAAACATTTATTTTATATATGTATATGTTATATATACATATGCTTTTTTATATATAGTTCTCTTGGTGGTAGACCTTTGGGTTGAAAGACTGGATTTAGTCTGCAGCTTTTATTTCACTCCTTTAGGCTTAATAATTTTTCTTAGAAAATATGTAGTATGCATGACACGCTATGTTCTACAGCAGCAAGCAACAAAAAAAAAACTTGGATAATGTTTTGTGTCTGCAACTGTGGATAAACTAGACAGAAGTGTTTATAGTAGCAAAGCAGCAGTGCACCTACACTTGGAAATATGTCCGCGTAAGCTTTATCCAAGTGATGTGGTGCATATTAAGGTGTATATAATAGCTGTTCTGTACTAGTAAAAAACATGAATGATTTTAGGTCACTTCCCCTTCCGACATGAGGATTTCAGTCTTGATTACTTTTCTTAAGTGATGTGTGTTATATATATCCCAGTGGTTATAAAAGCTGAAGGGGTGAACCAGAGGGAGGATTTTGTACATAGGGTACTGGAGAGGGTGAGTCTGTATTCTATATAAAACCCTGGCAGGGAATGAATAGCATATGGTCTGCTAAACAGTTTGTCCCCAACAGGGTGAGGGCAGGCAAGCAGCCTGCAGGGAATGCTCCCCAGATGGTATTGGCTCTTGGGCTGGAACTGGCAGCCTGGGGTGGTTCTGGGGACCTATCTCCAAGCATTACAGGGGTGGCTGTAACACCTCAGACATCTACAACATGTTCTGGTGCCTGGGATTCTCTCAGGGTGCTGTTAAAAATGTGTATGAACAGTCTTGAAAGCCATTACTGCTATAAGTGGACAAACCAGCTTGTTCAATAGTTCTTGGGTTCTTCAGTGGAAAGACACGCTTTACTGAAACAATTTTGCTAGTACTTTGGCAGTCCTGCGTCATCCTGGTTTTGATCAAAGGATGGTAACCCTGTGCTGGTTCATGAACTTTTTCTGTGATCGTGATACCGTAAAGTATGAAGTAAAGAAAATTGAAAGGATGGTTTGCTACTGGGAAAATGGGAGTACAACAAGGGCCTCTTGGAAAGCCCAGGTTCTGTTTCTGTGCAACTAACTCTTCAGGTGGGGTTTCTGGCTGAGGAAGGAGGTGCCAGTGGGGAGGTGGGAGCCTCCACGTGGTTGGGCCAGAGCCAGAGCTGCTGCCCTGGCTCTGGGGAGTTGCTTAGGGTTGCCTTCCTGCGAGAGCTGTCACTTACAGGCTTTGGCTGAAAGCATTTGTAAGATGTGATGCAGTTTGAATAATTCTCTTTGAAAGTTAGAAAATACACGTCTAGTTTTCTGTTGCAGGGTTCACAGCACTGCATACACAGCAATGCTCTATGTTAATGGAAAGTTTTGATAGCTGCATGAAAACATGTTTAGAGAGGGGTAAAAAGGCATGTACTAATGCAGAATTCTCTTTAGAGCATCACTGATTTTTCTTTCTGTAGTACAACTGAATGCAAAAATATTGTTAATATAATATAAAGTCATGCATATGTATTTCCCTAGAACAACTGTTATATTAACTGTTATTCACCTGTTTTAGACTTTTATTAAAATATATGGAACAATTTTCTTTATCCATTGTTGTATGTATTTTACCTCTTGTGTTACTCTAACGTCTAATTTCCTGTCAATGTGGGGTCCTTCTATTTGTGTTAAGTGCTTTAGGGATGCATTTTCCTCAAATCAGGTTTTGCTGTTCTGTTATTATTTGATCTCATTGGGGAGGATATTTAGCCCGTAACCTTTTCTTCTTTTTTTACCTGAAGGTAACTAGCTATATTAGGAATGATAGTCCAGTACCATGTTTTAACAGAGGGGGAAAAAAAGAATGAAAATGCCTGAATCTGAAGAGGGAAATTCTGACCTCAGTGAAATGGCAGAGATTTCAACGAATTCATTTATTTCTCTGATTATTTTTTTTTTAAGACCTAATTGCCACTACTAAATATTTCAACATTGCATTTAAAGTTAGCATAATGCATGTGTTAAACTGCTTTTGGTTTTGCTTTTTCTATATGCCACAGAGAACAGAAATGTGATGCAGTGGGTAGGTTCACCAAAGCAATGGATGATGGAGTTAAAGAGCTGCTGACAGTGGGACAAGAGCACTGGAAGAGGTGTACAGGGCGTAAGTGTCCCTTGTGAACTCAGTAGTCATTTCTGTGTTGCTTTCCTCTGTGGTTTTTTTGTCATTGGTTTTGTTGTGTATAATTCAAGGCACATCTTAAACCTAAAGGAAATCCTAAGTTACCATGATGATTGTATGTCATTCTGGTTGCTTTTGGTGTCTGAGTGTATAAATTCTGCAAGTTTTTTGGTGTGATGGTTTGTTTGTTGTTGGTTTTTTTTTTTCTCTCATAACAGAAATATCTGGTCCCTGCCCATAGGTTTAAAAATATTAAAAGTTAAATAATTCTAGTAATCCAGCTAAAGTCTGTGTTGGAACTGTTCTTGTGTATTTGTCATTTAACTACGTTTTAGTGACATGGGCAAAGTAGATCTATCTATTTGATGAAATCATAAATGATTGCACTTTATTAATCCCTTATTTAGGATTCTTGCATGCCAGGAGGAGTGATTTAAAGATGAAATTAGTTTAAAAAAAGAAAAAGAAAATAAAACCCAACTTGACTCTAACTTAATCTTTAGCCCAATTCTTTTTCTCCTATCTTGTCTCTTCCTTCCCACAGATATTTAGGGTTGCAGAACTTCACACCAAGTCCCTATGACTCTGCCTGGGCTCTAATTTCCTAGTCCACAGCAGTGTTCAGTGTTTGTGGCCACCACAAAGCAGCTATTGAAAGGAAGCAGGTACTACAGCTGAGGATCATAATAAGAAACACTTCAGAGCAGGCTGTAGTGTCTGGTGACCAAAGACCTATCACATAAATCTCCATATTTTTTTTCTTTCCTTTTTTCCTCTCTTTTAACTCTCACAAAACACCATTGTCCCCAGACTTGGGAGTAAGTACACCTCCTGAGTTATCTCTTTGCTGCTTTCTAATCTAACACTACAGTTGAATATCTGGGGCTGACTGGAGGGAATGGGAAGTATAGATGCCCAGTCTCTTCTGGTAGTGATTATATTAGATCTTAGTATCTGTAGAATGTTAACTTTAAATTATTTATGTTTCTCCACTTTGAATAAGAGGGTTTCCTTCTACACATCACTGACCCTGCTGCTGGTCAAAAATAGCGTAACACAGGACATGGCTCTAACGTTGTACAGATGTCACTTCACTAGGAAATAGATACTGAGGGGGAAGCAGAGGGCAGGGAAAGGAATAAGGTCCCTCAGATGAGACTAGAAAAATAGCGTTGTTTTGCAGTTGCAGAAGTGATGATCAAAACCGTAGTTAAGGGCTGGCTGTGACTTGTCCTTACAATAGAAATTCAGTATTTTGTTTGCTGCTAAAATCTCCGTAAACTTAAAACACTAGTGCTTTAGGTATGGAATAACTCTTCTAATACTTACAGCTATTAATTAGTTAGTTGTGTTGAAAATTTTAACTTTTAGCTTTTCAGATGTTCATACCGAATAGAAAAAGGAGACTGGTAAATTGGGATGTGCAAAACTGAAGAATTTCAGTAGGTTTTAAGTTCCCTATCAGCTCTAGTCCCAACTCCTAGTCAGAAGTATTTTTGGCACTTCCTGAGCAATAGTTATGTGCATTCCATTCTACGATTTTTAAAATGACTGACAGTGGAAATTTCTTAAATGCAAGTGAAAAGAAACCAAATTTTCTTCACTAAAGTTTCCACTGGGGATTCAGTAACAAGTTAATGGCTGATAACAGAACTCTAGTACTCTGAATGGTACCTGTTGTATAAGAAATATCAGTTGTTATGTAAAAAAAAATAATCTAACTTCTGAGCAGGAACTTGATCAAATATAATCAATAAAATTATGCAGCTGGGGGGGGTGTTTTGTTTTGGGTTTTTTTTGGTGTTGTGTGTTGCTTTGTTTTGTTTTTTTTTTTTTTTTCCCCCCTACACAAAGGGATTCCTCTGTGAAAATCAGACTGTTTAGGATGCTAGAGCAACTAAAAAAGCACTATTTACCTGCAGAGTGTAACCTCTGAATACAAATGTTTGACAACAAGAAGCACATCTACTTGGTTTTGTGGTTTGGGTTTTTTTCTGCTAGCATAGGTAGCAGAAAAATAAAAATTACTTTCATTTTCAGACTGCTTTTTAGGCCTCTGGAGTGGTGGTATTCAAAGTGTTAATAATGAATGCACTCATCAATCACACCTTTTGACTTCATTTTGAGGAAGCAACTTAAGAATGTGTTTTCAATAGATTATAAAAAAAATTTTTATTATTCAGATACTTGCATCAGTTTTTATCTCTACATAGTGTTGGTTTCTAGTGCCTTTAAATATAAAATTCATGATTTGAGGAGAGTTTAGGTATTATAGATCTGTATAATAAATGCCCCCTCTTAAAATATTAATGAGATCTATTTTCCATATCACTGCAGAACTTCTTCCCACCCCTCCAGGAGGATAAAACTGCTCATGAGGGGGAAAAGAAAATCTCACTGTATGCATAGGAGGACTGAGCTAGGAGTGCAGTGACACTTTTTTTTTTTTATAGCAGTCACACACTATTTCCCCAACTGTTTGTGGTTTTTAAGAATCCAGATTGCGATTGCTTTATCCAGTTTTGGAACATCTATAGTGGGGGAGGGGGGTAAGAAAGTGAGTGTAAACGCTTCACTAGAGGAAACGTAAAACCTAGTTGTTTTTGACATCTGCTTCTATCATGTTTTGGAAATGCTGCAGATTGTCTCACTTACCCTTGTGGGGTTTTGCTCCTGTTTCCCTCTTTTCCCCCTCCTTTTCCCCCTTTCAGCACTACCCAAAGAATACCAGAAGATAGGAAAAGCGTTGCAGAGCCTGGCACTGGTCTTCAGCACTAGTGGATACCAAGGTACTTCTATAGCTTTGTTTGTACTTTACTTAAGATATTTTAATTACATCATGCTACTTTCTTTGCCAAAGATTTTAATGCTTTCCTCTTTTCAACTCTAGATGTCAAACATGATTCTGGAAAAAAAAATTAAAAACTTGTTTCCCTGTGTATATTATGGAGTTGTTACATCCTAGTCTGCAATGTTGTTTTCGTTCACTGTATAATCATGTGTTGGGGGGGTGGTGGTGGAGTTTAGCTTGATCTCATTAATATATAGTATGGTCACTGACCTGACCAACAAAACATGCTGTAGCATTTCTTTGTGTTACCAAAGGAAAGGGGAGAAAGTGTGGCATTGAAAATATCTGTTACAGAACTATTGTGTGACTTCATGAAACAACTCCATATGAGGATGGAAAACTTGCATAAGACTTTTGTATACCATTATGTGGGCTGGAGGGTTGGCTACTGTAGCCTTTTCTTGTCCTTTACCTTTCCTTCTTCAAGACCTGTAAAATAGAGCCTGTCATGTTAAGTATGAAAGTCGTGGGAGGGAAAAGGAGGGCATCAATTGCTCAAAGTTCTCCTAAAATGCAGGCAGTTAGGCTGAACTTAAAATCCTGCTTTGCTATGTTAAGTTCTGCTGATGTTTTCCAGATAACTGGAAAACATTTCCTCATATCCCAGAGGGAGCTAATTGAGTTCATTTTCTCTGGGATTCTCTGGTCAAATGCATTTTTTAAATTTTTTTTTCTTCTAGACTTAATAGCAAAATAGCCCTGTTCTGAAACCTTAAATGTTATAGCATAGAGGCTTCCTGAAATCTTTCCATCTTAGGGCTTTTAGTTGACCAGTACTTATTCTGACTACTCATCTATCCCTTGCTTTGTACTCTTAAAGCTTTTTTGCCCCATTAACCACATATTAAAATGCAACCAGTTCTAAAACTCAGGTTCTCTGCTGCTAGAAACCTTGGAAATAGGCATAGTCCCTGTAACTTGTTCTCATCTTTGTCCTGTACTTCAACAGGATGACTGCTTAGTTAGAATTGGAGCATAGCATATTGCCTAAAACAATACTTATGGATGTGAGAACCAAGTAGGGGATTTGAATAGTTATGTACTTTTAGCATGGGTTAGAAAACTGTAAATCCGAGCCAGATACAAACTGAGCAAGAATTCTTGAGAAAGGACTGAAAATTGTTTGAACTATAAGACGCATTCTTTTGCCAGGGTAAAGGGAAAACAATGTGGCTTAAAGCTGGGATGCAAAATTGCAGATCAACCTTACAAAAGAAAAGCTTCAATTTGATTTCTAGCATCTTTGAATGGTGTGAAAAAATAGATCCCATGATGCTTGGGATCAAGGCAAGGATGTTTCTCTTTGCTGTTTGCTCAGTTGTACCTTGTTGCACCCTAGTATTTTGCTGAGGAAAATGCCCTTCCCATGGATGCCTTTGTCCTGATTCAATATATTTTGCCTCAGGTACAGGTCTGTGGATTAAGCAAACTCTATGCAAGAGACATAAGCACCTGTATTTAAACTGATAGGATGTGGCTTTCCTGATATTAATATTTAAAAGGCGGCACTGGACCTGTTCCTTCAAACAAATAAATAGTAGCTAGGCTGGGTATGGGGGATGATTTCTTTTTTTTTTTTTTTTTTTTTTTTGGACTGTCAGTAAAGAGGAGTGGCTCCTTTAGCCATGCTTAAAGGCATTCAGTTCAGTTTCTGTTGGGAGCTGAATCTTTTGTTGTTGTTGTTTGTTTTTTTAAGTACTTGACTTCTGGAAGTTTAAGCATATAGGCCTCTGAAGATTGCAACAAGTGATTTGATGACATGAACGTTTCCAGCTACTGGTAGCTGACTTCTGACATACTGAATACACTGTTAGTTGGTTCGTTTGCACAGTTAGGATGGGATATATCTACTTGCCTTACCTCTTTCATCAGTGCTGCCTGCTTATTCTGCAAAACCTTATGTGTGGTGAATGTCTACTGCCTTCTGATTTCCAGCTTAAAATGTTTAAGTTTGCACTAGGCACAATGCACATGTTAATCTGACTCACTCAAGCGCCTTTTCTTATGCTGCAGAATGAGCCTTATCAATTAGTTGCCAGCCACAGTGCATATTAGGAATCTGTTCCCAGTATTTGCAGAGACAAGGGTACCTTTTAAAACTATGAAGGAGATGTTGAGAGGTTCTTATTTAACTTGGCCGTGGGCCTACATACTGTCCGATTGGTTTTAAGAGTACGTGCTTTGAAAGTCTGATTCTGGTCCAAAAATGCATATTGGACAGTTCCAGAATATGCCTGGAAGTGTCTTGTTGCCTATCCTATTGCATCATACAGTGCTCTTAGGTTAATGCAGCCTGAAATAGCATGGCTTCTCTTTTTGCGGCACCAAATCTGGGCAAGTCTTTCTCCTATATTAAGAAAACGTGAATGGCTGTAGTATGCCATTCAATGATAGTAAGATCTCCTAATCCTACATTGCCCCTCAGGAATTTTGGGAGGCAGTTCTGTACAAGTTTCACTGTCCTGCCAGCTAGTAACAGGCATATTTTGCTGTCCAAGCTGCTTGTGTGTTCTGAACGTTATCAGGCTGAGGTGTACTTGTGAAGAAAAATCTTGCTACAAGTAGTTCCCTAGTACATCCAACTCAATCTCTTTCCTACTCCTGGGTTCTCTCAAAACATGGTTTGAAAGGAAATAAAAAACATTTCTTGGCGCAAAAAAATAATTCTGCTGCCCTAATCAAACCTTACAGAATATCAGTTCCCTCAATATGCCTGGTGTGTTCTGTCAGAGGTGATAACTGCTTGGTAAATGCCAGTGATTAACTTCTTAGAGATGCTTTGCTAAACATCTCCAAAAGACTCCTCATAGTTGTACATCTACCTCTCTTTCATGTAAACCGATGAAAACATCAGTTTCTCCTTGTGGGTTGGGTTAAAATATTGGTAGAAGATTACTGGCCATTTTAACTAGTCTTTTTACAACTACCTTTACTCAATGCTTTTAAGCCCTCTGTGTTTCTCATGGGGATACATGTAATACACACTGCCCTAATTTTGTTGTGAATGTCAGTAGTGTGTGGGGCTTTGTGCTTTTCCTTTGATTGAAGAACACCTGACTTCCTGGTATATCCTTGCCTGGTATATCCACTGGGACCCAGCTCAGCTTTCACAGCTTGAGTTAAGAATATCATTCCCAGCTTCGCATCAGTTCAAAAGCTGAGAATGCTAGAAACTTGGCCCTGACCAAAACCCATGCTGACAGCAGTGATTGGGAGGAATCTGCTGCTGTAATTCAAGTTACTCTGACGGGTGAGCATGTGGATTGTGTGTGGTATCTCTGAGGTTGCTTGGTATATGGAGTGACTGACTGAACATGATGTGCTACTGCTGCTAAAGTGTATTAGAACTTGGAGGGTGCGGCGGTGCGAGATGAAATCTGACTCTTTAGGGCTGCCCTGGCACTACCTGAAAAAGAGATTGTAGAAGAAAAGGATGCAGTGTGAGGAGGTGCAGATATTCTTCCACTTGTATGCCTGCCTATTGTCAGGATCCACTGTCTGGAACAACTTTTAAATATACTATGCCTCAGCCCTGCTTTTGGAGGGGTGTGAATGCCTATGCTAGTAGTAGAAACTCTTGATGCACCCTGTGCCTTCTACAGGCTGGCTTTGTGCCCTGCTGCCCCCAAATGAAAGAGGATGGGTGTTGAGAGGGTTTATCTCGATTCTTTAAAGCTTCAATCTATGAAGGTCCTTTCAGCAAGTTCTACATAGAAAGGGAGGACTTTATCTTTCTACTCAAATATCCATACTCTTCTACTTTCTTTTTGTTCAGATAGGAAGTCATCGTCTTTTATGGCATTATGAAATGAACAGCAAATTCTAGACCAACCTGGCTTTTGACTCTAATTAAAGCCATACCGTGTTTTGTCCCAAAATCTAGGAGTCAGTTGCCTAAGCAGCAGTTACTTCAAGGTTACTCAAGGTTACTTCTGAGCAGACATGGGAAATTCTGAAATAATAAAATTATTTAAGTCTACCCAAAATAATGAAATTGATCTCCCTGAAATTTTTTATTATTTTACAACGATGTGAAGATATCTTCTGAATTATGTACCTCTTAGATCTCACAATGGAATGTCATGTTTTTATTTTATTCAGACAGGCTCCAATAGGAGAAAAATAACTTTCTTTAGCAGTGTTTGTGTTGCTGGACTTACTGTTTTTTAGGATCAGTAGCTTTCCCTCAAAGTTTTTGGCTTTATGAAACCAGTCTAATGGAAAGGAAGAATTGATTGATGGAACTGAAGCAACATTCAGTCATTACCTTGTTTCCTTTAGGACATGCTAAAATGAAGGAATCCTATCTAATAAAACTCTAAGATAGATTAGTCCATATGTTGAAGTAAAAAAAGGTGCTTTTAATATTCAAATTAATTCTTAGTGAAATCAATGTTTGGTAATTTTAAATTGTAGAATAAAACCAAAATGTTCATAAAAGACTACCTGCTGCCTAATATCAAGACATGTCTGAAAGGATGAGAAAAATCATTTTTTCTTAAACTAATATTTGATACCTGCAAATTATACCTTCCCCTTTCTCTACCTCAATTTGCTTTCCGCACTGTTGACTACATGGTTTGGACAAGCTAACAAGGATGGAAAAAAAACTGGTGTTTTGGGAAGGTGAAATGGCATGAAAAAACCCAAGAATGTAAGGCTTGTTTCCATCTTTGTCCCACATAGCTGTGTCCTGCTAGTAAAACACTGTTATGAGTGCTTGTGGTGGTGTATAGCTTAAGACTTGTGGTGCTGTCTGTATTTTTAAGTGTAGTTTGTGGGGCCCTTTGATTTACTTCATATGATGATGAAAGTTAGAAACTCCCTTTCAAAAGTAGCCATTCTTACAGAGCTTGAAAATATTATCCAAGAGTTCTCTAAAGGATCAGAAATCTTACTGGCAAGGAAAAAAGTTAGTTGGGCCTCTTTCCACTTCTCTGACCTTCTAACAATGATCGTCCGGGACTGTTGGGGAGCTTAGGGCTAGCATCACTGGGAGGCTGTCCTGGAGAATTTACTGCTTGTCAGGTATGAAAATCACTTATTAAAAATCAGAACAACAGCTTTGTTAGTCTGTCTTCTAGTGTGACCCTCGTCATTCTCCCTTCCATCACATTCTAGTAGACCTCCTGTTGCCCAGTGTGGGGGAATACCTGTGTATTTAAACAACATATAAAATGTGGAAGTGAATAGTGCTAGTACTATGGTAGAACAGTGTTTGCGTGGTCCCTTTAGCATTGACTTTCTACAAAATCTTCAGTTTTCATTCTTTAATGGTATAAAAATTAGTAATATTTTTCTAACTTTTTTTATTACTGCTGGTTATAAAATGATGACTAGGCATTTATTATTGTCAAGTAAGCTATTTTAGAAATTTGCCTTGAATCAAAGCAAGTTTCTTACTGTAATTGACCTTCTGTAATTTGAACACTGATGTTTACTTTTAGGAGAATCTGATCTCAATGGCGCAATAACAGAAGCAGGAAAAACCTATGAAGAAATTGCCAGTCTTGTAGCAGATCAGGTAGGAGTAGTATGACTGCATTGGCATAGTGTGTACAAACGTATCACCTATTTGGATCGCTTCTGACTTTTTCCTTTTTTTTTCTTTTCTGTTAAAACATAACCGCTACAGTTGCGGACCAGTTAAATGAAATTAATTAATATTATTATTATTAATACTTTTAAATGCACTTTCATCTTCTTTTCTACTATGTGCTGACTTAGGGGAGATGTGATGGGAAGGTGTTTCTCTAGGATCAGAAATATTACATTCTGGTTTCTAAAATACTAAATGGTTACTTCCTCTTTAAATGTCTTTGTTTTCAGATATCAGTGAGCTGTCTTCATTACTGATACAAAATAATTAAATTTAATCAAGGACAGAATGTCTACCTTCCCCCTGCATTCCCCAGGTCTCTACAGGATCCAGATCTTGCTGCATTTCACTGTCTTGATATGCAATTGCCTGCTTCAGTAAAAATCTAGCTTAAGTAAATCCTGATTGGTGTCAGCATACAAGTCATAAATTGATGTTTAATGTATTAAGCTTATAGTCTCCAAAATGCAGATCCTCTTGATCTCAGGGTTGAGTCTGGAAGTTCTTAAAACAGCTTTCCAAGTCAGGGACTAAGGAGATGACCTAGGGCTGGTAACTCCTCTTCAGTGAAAATTTAAGGCAAACCTCCTCACTTCATAAGCTAATGTTGAGTAAAACAATGGAGAGAGGCATCTGCTCACTGGTGCTTAGTGCCTTACTCTGAAAAGTTTATATTTTAATACGGACCTTTTAGAATATGAAAAACTTGCAACAAACAATTAAGATTTTTGGTTTGGATTTTTTCCTATTCTTTCCTTCCCTTTTTTCCCCTCACCCTCTTTTGGCATCATGGTTTCTTTTCTGTGATGTTAATATGCCATAAATACTTTTACTAATGCTTACACTTTGTTTATTAGCCCAAGAAAGATCTTCACTTTTTGATGGAAACAAATCATGAATATAAGGGATTTCTTGGTTGCTTCCCAGACATCATAGGAGCTCATAAGGTACGTGAGGGGCCTTTCCTTCTAAGGGTTGGGCAGTAGGAAGATCTACAGCAACAAAACTGGTGGTATGGTACACTGCATTTGTGCAGCAGCCTGGTCCCTGCTTCCAGAAACACTGAAAGTTTGGCATGTTGATTTTTAAAATTAAAAATACTTAGAGGGGAGGGAGCCAGAACTTGTGTCGAGCTTTGAGAATATCATGACTTTCTACTGCAGGAGAGCACTAGAAGCTTCATGCCTTTTTTCAGGTTAACTTCATGTCCCAATGTGGTGAATAGCTGCAGTGTAAATTTATAGTATTTGAGTCTTACATGGTAGCTGATACTAAACCATACAAATACTGTAGGAAAAATTGTGTATGCTTACATGACTGGCTTACTGATATGTGATAAATAATCATGCACTGCCTAGAAGTTTCTTTAATATTAAAAAACAGAATTGGACTAACTTTTTTTTGAGGGGGAACAAAAACCAATCACTTTGTTCTCTGTAATAAGAAATTAAACAAAAAAATTAGCCATTGTGTCTAGTTTTGGATATTCTGCATTTTTTTTTTTGTCTTAGTTTTCCTTATGTTCATGTGCCTGCTTTAACATATTTCAGGAAGCTAAAAATTTTGAACTATTAAACAAGTATATAAATTTGGGTTTTTTACCACTTGAAGTGTTAAATGTATAAACCAAGAACGTACTTCTGAGAGCAACAAAGATAAAAGCGTATCAGATTTGTGTAGTCCTTTCTTCAGGACACTAACGGTCCCTCATCCCACAGAATCCTTGGGGAAAAATACCATAAAAGGAGAAGAAATGTTTTTAAAACTTGAAGCATAAGCCTACTGCCAAGAGACGTGTAAATAGATTCTCTTGAATGTTGTTTGGCACAAATACATTGTGAAGGGGGAGGCATTTCTTTTTATGCTTGTTGTTTGTGTGACACAAGGATTTTCCTGAATCAAAAGTTATAAATTGCAATGAGTTGTAGTCTCTTGGAAAATAATTTATGTTGTCTTATCTTGTATAATGTGCAAATAAGGTTTACAGGCATTTGGAAGTTTGAGGCTTTTGGATGTCTGTTGTGTTGGTCAGTGGCATTTCGAAGCTTGGTCCTCTTGTCCTTTCTGTGTATATCCTTGTGTGTTACTGCCTTTACCAAACTCCATTTCCCAGTGACTGTGTTCATGCCTGTGTTTAAAGTTACTTTTTGCAAGCTGTTAGGACTCTTGAAAGCAGTCGAGTGAAATAACAAACTTTGAGTGAAAATGTGGGAAGGCAGAATCAGTCATTGTGTATGTATATACATGTATAGTGTGCAAGCTCAAAATGTGGCCAGTGGCATTTTAGATGACTATGAAGACCTTTTAATTTGACTAATCTTTTAATCTTTCTGCATTTGGTTTCTACAGGGAGCAATAGAAAGAGTGAAAGAAAGTGATAAATTAGTTGCAACCAGTAAAATAACCCCACAAGACAAACAGAACATGGTGAAACGCGTGAGCACCATGGCTTATGCACTACAAGGTAAACCAAAGGTTGGGCTAAATGGTAATGTTGTTGTAGATCTCTGAAGGACATCTCTTAAGTGACAAACTTTGAAAGAGAATCTTTGTTCTACTAGGAATCATAGTAAGAGCTAGGCGTTGCTTTTTGTGTGTGTGTGACTTGCTTAGATTTTCCTAAAATTGCAGTTGTTTTACCCACTGTTTTCTTTCAAATCTCATGTTGCTATTGCAAAAGATACATGTTTTGGAAATGCTATTAAAAAGCCCACTACACCAAAAAACAAACAACACCCTCCCCCCTCCTCCCCCCCAAAAAAACCCCCGAACCAAAAACCCCACAACAACCAACCACCCCAGACTGATTCTTTCATTTTGAAGTGATAATGTCGCAAAGAAAAAACATGGGCCCTGGTGCAGGAAGCAGTTCATCACGTGCAGAAGTGTTTTTCTGACTCATGGTTTAGTCAGACATGATCCAGTTGAGATTCACGTTCTTGTGGATAAGATTTTTTTCCTGGATGTTCTTTGAATGAACTCTTTCCTCTTTAGGTTAGAGAGCTTGTAAATATGAGACATAGCACACTGTTCTTGAAAAAACAGGGAAATGAGGAGTTGGGGCTCAGTCCTGCAGGATGTGAAGCCCTTAAGTGCATCCTGTTACTGACTGCAGTGGGACCACTCATTGCTGAGGGCATTGCATCTTTTTTTAGCTGACTTAAAGCCAAGAGTACTCAGTATTTTACAGGACAAAGTCAGAGCAGCACACAAAATTTATTTTAAAAAGAAACAAGAAAACTCCCCACCCCCTCCTCTTTCCTGGTCACGATGCAAGAGGACTGTGCTGTGTAAGTAGTAATGGTGGAAGAGACCTCTAGGATGGCTTTTACAGTCTAGAATATTTCTTCTCCCTCTATTGGTATCTCAAAATAGAGTTACCTTTTTATTTCAGCCATGAGCTGTGATCTGACAAGAGATGCAGAAAGTAGTGAAAGGTGGTATGAATTCAGTAATGCTGTTTCTCGGGTTTCTACTCAAACAGCCTCAGTCAAGAATGACTACTGGCTGTATTATTTTTTTTTGAGCTAAATATTTACAGCTGTGGCTTACAACTTGATATCTGTACCTTTGGAAATCTGAATGTCTTAGCCATATTCTGTTGGAAACACTTCAGGAAAGAGCAGTTACCTCAATAGAAAAAAATCCTTCTTGTATTCTTTAACAAATCTTTGTACACCTGAGTATTGTAACAGGAGCCTGGCTTTATCCAGGAAGCATCTGTGTTTTAGCAATATGTAATTGACATACTACCAGTTTTACAAACAGTTCCATCATAACTTGGCTGCTGCAGGTAAAACAGGTTTTGGAAGCATGAGAATGGTAACTATGCTGGCAGGGCTGGACACTGAACTTGTTGCACAGTAGCTAATCTATACTGTATGAAACTATTCCTAATTACAAATGCTTCTCTTAAATAATTTGCTTCCTGGGTCTAATTGCAGCTGAGATGAATCACTTCCACAGTAACCGGATTTATGACTACAACAGTGTCATTCGTCTGTATCTGGAGCAGCAGGCACAGTTTTATGAAACGGTAAGGTGTAGTACTTCAGTGCCATTTTCCTGGCACAACTGTGCTGCTACTTTTGTAAGAAATACTTGCAGTACTTAATCATCATTTTGTGTGAGCCTCTCCCAGAGAGCAGATATTTAAGAATTGTACATGTAAAAAAAAAAAAATAAAAGAACAAAGAATGAGTTAAAACAGTATTTTCCTATAGGTACTATTCCTATGTACATGACTGTGTCATATTAGACCTAAAAATTAGTGTTGAGAAACATTATTGTTGACAATGTGATTATTTTTTCTTTCTATGCCAGTATTAAAGTTACAAAGAATTTTAGTTCTGTGATATGCAGTAAGACAGACCTGCTGCACCGAATACAACAATAAACCATTTGAGTGGAGCTTCCCTCTTACAGGATGGGAGGACAAAGGGAAGCTTTTGTGATTTTTAAGCCTGATGTATACAGTGTGGGGCGGGAGGATTGGTGTGGTTCTGGTGACTTCTTAAATATGCTAACTCTGAGCACTTGACCTAAACCTTATTTCTCATTTAAAATTGTTCTTATACATGTATTCCTCGTGGTTTTTAAATGAAACCTGAGAAGAAATTTTCTAATGTGATACGCTGGTAAAACATGTGAGTTTGTGCTGGAACCTGACTTCTATCACTGAAGGAAGTAATATAAGCAACTGGTTCCCCTTCACAGCAGTAAAAGGTGCCAGTGGGGCTTCAGCAGTATCTTTAGTGGATGAGAACTTTAAGTCCCCCACCAGGTCACCTTGCTCAGTTTCTCCGACACACCTGACAGGGTTTGGCACAGGTTTCTCCTTACCTTCTTTCGGTCTCTTGTCCAGTCTATCCCAATTCTTCTGGTTGCAGCCTCACCAGTCTTGTACCAGTCCTCTCTCCCCCAGTACAGGGACCAGATCGGTGTTCACCTGTGGGGTGCTGGCTACCATAAGAGCTGTGGGGAGAGCACAGGAGCTCTGATCTGATGCGTGGCCTTGTTTCAGCAAGGAAATGGATTTCATGAAAAATCTGGCTTTGTTCCTGCAGCCCTCCTGCATAGTGCAGTGCTAGATAACCAAACTGGCAGGATGACAGCCCTGCCTACAGTGCTTTCTCTAACGCAGCCTGAGTGGTGAAAGGACAAAATGAACAAGGCAGAAAGTGTATATATGAGAAGAAAAGTCTTTATAATGGAATGCTTTGAGAGTCCTACATACACAAAACCTGCAGCAAAACCTGCAGTTTTTCAGAAAATGAGGGAACATTCCATTAAATTTCTTAGCCTGCAATCGTATTTCTGCGTGAAGTAACTACATATTAAATATGTTCTGTTTCTTTGTTTCAGATTGCACAGAAGCTGAGGCAGGCACTCAGCCGCTTTCCTGTGATGTAGAGAGGAAGGAGTAGTCAACAATAAAGAACAACTCCGAAGTGCTTTTCTTATCTGGGGGCAATGCTAATAAAAACTTGTTAGCCTTTGCCAGCCAAAAAAAAAAACCAAACCCCCACACCAAAAAACTCCCAACAGAACAAAAATCAGTTGTAGAAAAAAAGAATTATTTAAAATTTTACTTTATCAGCCTAAATCATAAGATAATATTCTCTCATCTTGAATGCTCTCCCATTTGTATCATTATTTAAATAAAACCAGCTAGATAATGCTGTCAGTTGTAGGGATCTAAATTATCAAACTGATACATTGCCATGGACCTCATGAAGACTTGCATATCTATCAGATGTTCTTCCAAAAACTCTTAATTATCGTCAGAGTTACAAATTTATATCTTCTTTTTTTTTTATCAAGTGGGAAAGCAGACAAGCTTGAGAAAATTACTTTAATACTCCATTATATTCAATTCAGCTCTCTAGCGATTCAGTAGCCAGGAGGAATTATATTCGTGTATGTTTCTGGTAAATGTTCATGATAATCTCCTCAATGAACACTTTGTTCTAAGTTTGGCTTCCCATACGCAGCCATGGCACACTGCTCCTGTTATGCCTTCTGGTAAATATCCTTCGTACTTCCCTTCCTTTTTTTCCTTCTAACTAAATCTTGTACTTGCAGCACAACACCTCAGAGCTTATGTCAGGCTCTTTTTTTCTCGCTATGCACTGTGTAAGAAGACAAAGTACAAACAAGGAAAGAGCCATTTGGGAAGGTGTGAAAAACAGTTTTCCACACTAGCACTTTGACACCCCGCGATGTTATGCCATAAGGTGCTGGTGTCAGGGTCGGCTTCCCTTTTACCCCTCTGAGAGTCTGAAGTGTTTCAGCAGAGGGGACGCTGCCACATCTAACCCAAACAGGTAGAAGTCCCCAAATTCCAGCTAAGCTCAGGTCTTCATGTAGTAGTATGGTATCCTATTGGCTTGGGTTTACTTTTTGCTGCCTTCTGATGCAAACTAAAAGGTGACAGAAGTACTGAATAACATCGTTAGTTCTCACACAAACGCTGTGCTTTGGTCATCACCTCTTACTGAGTGGCCCAATGTCCTCTTTCATACTACTGGAATATCCTTTGAGACTTGGGCTTTTCAAAACAGAAAAGCTGCCACCAACCCTGTTCACAATGGGCGCCAACTACAGTAATTCATTTCATGCCATAAGCAAGCAGGAAAGCCAAAACGCAGGTTTTGCTAAAATGTGCCTAGATAATAAACATTTTGGCAAAAAAATGAAAATTTACAAAAAGGCATTTTACCAATAAGCCATTCTAAGTGATGGGTACAGTCTGTTGGTTGAATAGTTGCCTTACTCTGTTTTGCATTGGTGTTACTTTTGTGTGCTAGAAGGAAAATCTGGGTCTGCCTGAATAACCTGAAACCAAACCAAACCAGGCTAAGCCTAAGTCTAGATGCTTTTCAGTGTCACGGGTTTTGTTCACGTTTTATAAACCTTGTCTTTTTCTCCTCCCAATTTTAGTTGTTTGCTTCCAAAATTCCATAGCGCAGTGTTGTTTGATACAGCCATTTAAATATGTACAAATTGTAAAGAATGTGTATAAATGTTTTACACCAAATGTAAGATCTGCTTGCATGTAGAAGCAGCTTATATAATAAATTGTTACAATGTGTACAGTAAATTCTGAAATCACTTTTTCAAGCCAGCATTTTTTTAGCATTTGTATATTCACTTTTTGGTAATGAAATCTCTTTGTAACAGGCTCTTGATTTGGGAGGGGGAAGGGGGGTCTTTTTACCAATCTTTAAATAGCTCCGTATGCACTAAAGTTCAAGGTTCTTTATCTTGAATAGATTGTTTTGGGATCTAAGTGTAAGCTATGCATTCCTAGTCCAGGGAAGCTATGACAGTAGCAACTGTGTCAAAGATGCAACATTTTGGCAAAAAAGAAAAACTGTTTAAAGACTTCTAGTAAAATGAAGTTAAACTGATAATAAATATTTATATATATCCACCAGACTATTTTATTTTTTTCTTTGAAATCATCACGTTGCTTTTTTAACAGGGTGATGCAGTATGAGGCAGATCCTCCTTATAGCTTTTCATCAGCTTACTCACACTGGGCCAGCTGAGGAATGAGAGAGCATCCATGTGTCTTCCATAAAGCAGGCATCACAACTCAATGGTATAATAGCGCTAGTGACTGCAAACCAGCAAAGGCTACGCATATGTTGTAAGCTTTCATTATTCAGGTCAGTCCAGCTCGTGGTTGATGGAACCCTCCTGACTGCAAATAAGTAGTAGAGCACAGTGCTACTGTGTATTCCTGGCTTTGTGTTGGCATGGTGTTGACCCAGAATAGAAATTAGATTGTCTTTGGTATTTGTTTTTTAAATTAGACATGAATAGTGGCATAGTTAAATTGGGTGAGTTGGGAGCAACGGAAAATCTTCACACTGAAGATGCAGTCATAAAACTAGAATAACAAGTTAGAGTAAGACTTGAGCAGTGGCCTCCTGAATTTTGTTTGTCATAGCTGAATAATTAATCTCTGGAGCATCAAAAAGCCTTAATACTGGTTCCTGGCTTATGCTTTTCTTCAAGGGTGAGCTAAACACTACCATTATCCCAGTGACTTTGTTAAAGACATCAGATGCCCTAGCTGTTGGGTTTAACTTTATAATTAATTGCTTATTCCATTACTGCTAAAATATTAAATTCATTTTTTAACAAAAAAAACATAGTATGCAAAGGGGAATGCTACCTGTATTTCTTGTCTGTAGTTAATCCCACACGGGATTAGACTGCAGCAGCAGACTTTGTTGTTGTAATGTATGGTATGTTTTTGGAAGAGTACTGTCTGCAGCAATTGGAAGATATTCTTTAATGCTGTAATGAGGCCTAACTTTGCACAAGGACTGAAATTTTTACATTACTGAGCAATTTCTGTTTTCTATGGCAAAATAGTTGAGAAACTGTTACCATAACATACACTTTATTCTGTAAATTCTGATTAAATTATATACATCAATTTTACTGCTACTAAAATTAGTCTTGTTTAGGGCAGCAGAATAATTTAGACTAAAGAATTGTAAAGAAAGAGATGCCTCTCTTGTGCTGTCGGTTAGTTTGACGTACACCAGACACTGCCAGTCTGGACTGGCCAAAAGTACTCCACGGCCTCAGGGTGTGCAGCCGGCCACAGGAAGCAAAGCCATCGCCAGGCAGGCATCCCGCTACTGCTGCTTCTGCCTTGCCCGGTGCCTCCACCTGAGGCACGTTGTGTGTGGGTCTTCAGTTACATACTTTCCATAGTTTTCTATATACTTTTCTACATACTTGCCATAGTTTTCTATAACTCTTCTGATAAAATTAATGTTAATAACTGATATAATACAAGTATGGAACAGGAGAGGTAACCACTTGAGCAGAAACCCCCCACCTTTTTTTTTTCCTGTCTAAAGAATCCCTAACAAAAACAACCTTATAGCGTTAGAAACATATGGACTGGCTGGAGACCAATCCACCCATCCTGTAGTGTGCCACTATCAGTTACACCCATACTACTTTAAAGGACATCTGAGTCACAGGTACACATTTTCTTGGAATCTTGGAGATTCCACAACATGCCAGCATAGCCCTTTCCAGTAAATCGGCATGTTGTCACTTAAAAAGCTTTCCCTTACATACATCATTACTTCTGTAAGTTGTGTGTATAGAAAATGCTACCTCTAAGCTCGAATTTTCGTTAACTAGAACAGTTAACCAACATACCTAATAATTTTTAAATACTGGAAGTCCTTCCTTGTATTAAAGTGTGTCACCTTTCTTCCCTGGGTGCATAAAACTAATCTTTTCTTGCTTATGCCGTTCAGTCCTGTTAATACACAATCAGAACAAGGATTCTACTTTTCACCTTTCCAGTAAGAGACACTGCCGGCTCATCAGTTCACAGTATTGCTGCCCATGTTGCCCTGCCTGGCTGCAGAACTTCCACACAGTGGTCAAGTGCTACATGTAGAGCTTTGTGCATCTATCACAAAGGAAATACAATTCCCAACCACATTTTCAATTTATAATACTCAGTTCTGTCTGTATGTGCTACACAGACCTACTTGGGCTCATGCAGGGGTTTTTTTGCTTTTAAAAAAACTTATATTCCAATTATTTAATAGAAATTTTGTGTAAGTTTTCAATTCATTTTATGACTACCTAGTAGTCACCATATTTAGAATACGTCCTCTTGAGTTTCTTCTGAGATTTGAATGTGAGAAACTTGTGAAAATTATTTCTAAAATCCTTCTGTTTGCATCTCTATATCCCCTCCTGTTTTTAATTAGGCTAATCTTCCAGTCAAAGGAGGATATTTGACTATTTGACTGTTTACACAGATTCTTCTCAATAAACTTGGATTAGCTGGTTTTTGGCCTCCCCCCCAGCTCTTTGCACATCAGTTGTAACTTTGGGATCTTTGCTGACACAAGTTAGTAACTTTGGGATACTGAATTTAAACTGACATAATTTCTTTGTTTTATAAAGGTAAAAAAAAGTGTCTATTTTTAATCTTCTGGGCCTTTTAATCTTTCCTAATTGGTCAGGTTTTCTTAAATTTTCATAATTTTTTGCCTTCCCTTCAGATTCCAGCTAGTACACCTACTGCCTTCCTG